GAAGGACATCAGAATACATCAGGCACGCTAAAAACACTGTGTACGCATATGACATGAACAATAATGAATGTAAAACCTTACCACCACTGCCATTTGCAATTACTGATATGGCTAGTGTTAGTTATAAAGGTAATGTAATATTGATCGGAGGTGTCAATGAGAAAGTTGAAACATTAAACAGTGTAGTAATGTATGATGTGAAAACAGGAAAAATTAAAATGTTGCCTTGTCTTAATCATAAAAGATCAGCATGTGCAGCAGTTATCACTGGCAATGTTATCATTGTTATGGGTGGATATGATTATGAAACTAACACATGTCTCAGTTCTGTAGAGTGTTTAGATTTAAGTAGCAATGTATGGAGAGAACTGTCACCAATGAAAACTAAGCGAGGTTATCCAACTGCAGTTATTAAACTAATTTCATAGAATATATTTAATAGGAGCAAAAACTGACAAAGTAATGGCATGATTTAGTAAAACTTTCATATCTATTTGCATAATTTAGAATGTATACTGAGTAAGATAATTAATCGATGTAGATAAGATATATTAACCATTAATTTTTATAATGTAGCTTAATCTGTAATAAATTGCATCACTTCAAATCATCTCAGAAAATCTTTTGATCTTTTATTGTCTCAAGGAATTGTAAATGTATTTTTCATGAAATTGGAAAAAAGCAAATTTATATACATGAGGGAGCACTCTAATTACCAGCTGGTTTAAAAACGTGGTTTGTGTTTCTGGTTTTGTAGAGGCTTAAAATGAATCAGATTATCGAATCATTCGAATGCCTAGTGGAAACAGCAAACGAGTTTGCCTCAAAATGCCTTATATTTAACAAAATTTGTCCATATTATTTATCAAAATGAACCTGCGAGCCAAACGAGTCTTACGTGAATATCTTGTAGTGAACACTCTCTGGGTTCAAGAATTTGGAACATTGCTTGTATATTAACAAAGGAAATAGTTTTTATACTCAATATTTTTGTTGTAAGAACCATATTGCGACATTCCTCAAATCGAAGTTCCAAATGATAATTGGAAAAAACAATGGTTTCCCTTCAATTAACTTTGAATGCCCTAAATATGTGTACTATTTACGCTGTCACGGATATACAAACTCGAGCTGAAAGATTGTGAAACGTCTTGAAGAGAACATTTGTATTCTTTAACAATTTAAAATAAATGAATGATGTTTGGCGAGAAAATTGAACTTATAGTTTATGTAAATCAGCATGATTCTGTATCAGATATACAAACTCCTTCACGCTCATCATTTCTTTTGTGTTTCATTTTTATGAATTATTATTGAGTTTTGCAATTATCTATTCTTCAACAAACCACAGTTTGATATCGATGCTGCATGGCACCATTTAATTATGTATCTAAAAATATGTGACAATGTCTGTGTTGATCTGTGAATTATTTTGTGTCTGCCTTGAAAAATATAAAGAAAACCCTTCGCTCGAAACGTCGAAATTCTCCTTATATTTTTTTACTAAGTTGCATCCTTGTTTAAAGTATTTTTTAACGTATTGAATAGGTTAGAACCCATATATGAATTGGTTAAATGTGAATTTTATGTAAATTCTTTTGTAGACTGATGTGACAATAAGTTATGTAAAACTACATGCAGATCCGAAACTAGGCAAGACACTGGACATAGGTATGTACCATGAAAATATAGTAGCAATGGACTATTCCTCGATTAATTTTGTTTCCAAAGGATCTGTAGTGCTATTTTTATTGAACTTCCAAAATTCACTTGTTATGTAATTTTTAGTTTTAAAGAAAATGAAACATCGTGTGGTGGAACACATGAGTTCAGGCACAGCTGACGCTCTCGGCTTAAGCAGAGCTATTCTCTGTAACGGTAATATATAGATGTGATCTTTATCTTGAATTGATCACAAATGGTGTTTCAAACATGATTGTGTCTAACATAAGTTGCATATTTTTGTGATCTAGATGGCTTGATCAAAAAGTTGGAGGAATTACAGCAAAATGCATTGCTTTATAAAGGTAACATTCTGAGGGTGATTGTTAGTTACGTGGTCGAACTATGTTCATACGACTTTAGAAAAATGGATGATATTTTGATGGATTTGTTAAGAGTACTATTAATAAGGATAATATAAGGCTAAGTGTAGAACTTTTGTCTTTATACATGGCTATTACGAAGCTTATGATACGTCATTCTTCGAATTTGATATACCCTTGTCCTTGATACGATAGCAAAAAACAACAACGACAACAACAACAACAACAACAACAACAACAACAACAACAACAACAACAACAACAACAACAACAACAACAACAACAACAACAACAACAACAACAACAACAACAACAACAACAACAACAACAACAACAACAACAACAACAACAACAACAACAACAACAACAACAACAACAACAACAACAACAACAACAACAACAACAACAACAACAACAACGACAACAGCAACAACCTGCTGTACTTTGATTTCAGTTGTAGAAGTATAAAACAAGCACATATACAATATAACAAAATATTGCTTAACATTTTTTCCAGGTCTCTTTGACCACACAAAACGCTATCTTCAAAGTTTTTACCAACTGGCACAAACACACAAAGGTCTGTTGGGTTTTTTTCTTTAAATTTAACAACCTTGTGACCAATTCCTTTTAGTGAAGTAAAATTTTGATATTTTCAGAACTGGGTGATATTTTCAGCTCTATTGGAGTAAGGGAATTGCAACCAAACGCGAATGAAGCATTCAGTATATTTTCTACAGCACACAGGTAGATACATTGCAATACATAGAGCTAACTTGAAATACACACGTGCGAGTTGTAACAAACCTGCAGCAGACTTGTAGCAATGCTGTTCCAACAACTTGTCAACAGCATGCATGTATTCGCACTGCTTGTTCCCAGCTTGTTGACAAGTTGTCAACGGCTTGTTGACAACTTGATACAATGTTGTTGAGCTCAACACACTTGTTACAAGTTGTTCCAACAACTTGCTATCGTCCTGCAATTCAACAAGTTTCTCAACAAGTTGTGTGACAATTTTGTAGCAACTTAATAAAATGACAACATTGCTACAGCTTGTTGACAAATTGCGAGATTTTTCCCTGTATAATGGACCTATACCGCGCTAACAGTGTCTGTCATGCACCTGTGCATTTCGAGGTAGATTTATGACCACATCTTTATCAGCTGTACTAGCCTGTAGGTTAAATATCTGTCATACAGTATGATTAAATTATCGTCGCATTCTGTTTCAGATCATTTGAAAAGATTGGTATGGATTTTCTGAAGAAAGTGAAACCAATGCTGAGTGATTTAAACACTTATCTATCAAAGGTAGGAACTCCATTCTTCGTTTTCTTTTATATGTACGTTTTATTGTAGAAAATTGAATGAAAAGTCAACGACTCATCGTGTTTTTTAATCAACCACGAAAATAAAAGAAAAGAAAAGAGAAGGACAGTACGAATTAGCTGATGCTATATTGTGTAATAGTTAACATTGTTTCTTCTTTTGTCAGGCAATTCCAGACACCCAGCTGACCATAAAAAGATATGCAGATGCCAAGTTTGAATATCTTGTAAGAATATTGCAGTATTATAATATATACCCTAGAAGACGAGTGTCTTAAGTTGGCCCTGATTCTCTTTTATTCGTCGTTCCCGTAGTGGAAAGCCCCGGTGAAACAAAGATGAACGTTGGTAGTCATGCATTGTTAACGCTGATTTCCACCACATTTTTTCGTAAAGCTGTCGCAATCTGCTTACAAATTGTCTGCGAAAAGGTTTATTACCCCAGATTATGAATATTGTCACATGCGTCCTTAATTTTAAATCTTTGTGTTCTAGTCTTATTGTTTAAAAGTGAAAGAACTCGACGACGAAGAATATGCGTATGCTGTGAGTACATTTCTTTTCAAGCACGATCATTTCACGAACGTCATGATTCTATATGTTCCAATTACAACAACTCATATCCTCGGATTGAATGCCTTTCATTTCATCATTTATTGAAAACGTAAAAATTTAGTGAATTTCAAGGAGTACTCACGTAAAAACGCACAAGTTGTAAAAAACCTGCAGCAGACTTGTAGCAATGTTGTTCCAACAACTTGTCAACGGGATGTGTTCGCACTGCTTGTTCCCAGCTTGTTGACAACTTGCTACAAGGTTGTTGAGCTCAACAGACTTGTTACAAGTTGTTTCAACAACTTGTTATCGTCCTGCAATTCAACAATTTCTCAACAAGTTGTGAGTGACAACCTTGTAGCAACTTGATAAAATAACAGCATTGTTACAACTTGTTGACAAGCTTGCTACAAGCCTGTTGCGAACACATCTTGTTGGCAAGTTGTAAGATTTTTACATGTGTATACCAGGTGCACACTCTCGCAGATGCGTATAGACTACCTAAGTTTATAATTTGTTTTATTTTTAGGCATTACACGAAGCTTTGTACCGTGTCGAGACTGGAAATTACGATTACAGGTAAATGTTTTTCTAACATTTTGTTGTTTTCGTATCACCAAGAGAGTTTCTTTAGCAAAGTGAACGTTTTTATTTGCCAGACTTGTCTTACGATGTCGACAGCTCGCAAGAGAGAAATTTGCTCGACTTCGATCTGACGTTCTTGTCAAACTTGAATTACTGGACAATAAACATGGTGAGTGGTGTGTCAGCTTTGGAAGATGAAATAATGAAATTGGGAAATTCGTTAAACCTGCATCCTCATTCTGTAGCTAAACCCCCGGTCAAACGAAAACAAGAGTTGCATGAGAGTTGAGATGTGGGAGTTTGCATGAGAGTTTTCTGAACTCTCGTGTCCCGGTCAAACGAGATCAAGAGTTGCATGAGAGTTGAGAAGTGAGAGTTTGCATGATAGTTCTCTCAACTCTTGTGTCCTGGTCAAACGAGAACAAGAGTTGCATGAGAGTTGATGAGACGAAAGTTAATATTCGTGTTTGTTGTTCCTACTTTCAGTTCAAGATATCGTGTTTCAACTGCAACGTCTTGTTCAAGCCATGTCGAAATATCATCAAGAATGTTATAGTGAATTAAAGCAAGCTGATGTCTTTCCCATTGAGGTTGATCTCACGAAAGGTATTCTGGGTAGTGCCTTACAATGACGTCATATACTAGTCAGATAGTTCGCCATGACGTGTGATGCGTCTGTTTACCACATATTGGACAGATTCATACTTATTCTCATCCGTCAAGATATCGATATATAGAGCTCACACTCCCTTCTGCGTGGCAGGCGGTATTTCTACAGGCAGCGAAAAGTAGGGAGGCAAAGGAAATACCGTAAAAACCGCCTGCCGCGCAGGCTAACTCACGTCTAAAGGGCAATTTCCACTTAGGAAATTTTTTTGTAAAATGTGATTGGCCGATACAAATTTAACGTAGGAAAAATTTTTGAGGTTGAAAATTTTCAAGTTTTCATGACGTTGATATTTTTAGAAATTTTTCTTTATGTGGAAATTTTTCTAAATGGGCCTTTACAGACAAGTTATTTATTTATTAATAAGCCTGTTCTCCACTTCAGATGATGTGGGCGTTATAGACCTCTTGTTGCTACCTGAGTAAGATTCTCGCTTTCTCTTTTTTCATGTTAGCAGATACAATATTTATACTTGCAAACGGGTGTGTCTGTTAGATGAATTATCGATATAGTTACAGATTATTATGCAATGATTCATCAGTTCGCTGAGGTACACAGACGAATTATCGGGGCAGCAAAAGAAAAAACTAGAATAAGATAGCCATAAAAGAATGGAAAACCAAAATTTTTGGTCTGTTGTAAGTAATCTTTAATAACAATAATTATAATCTTATATATATACATTTCACTACACGAAATAAAATAGACTTATTATAGAAATTAAATTAATTCTGAGATGGGTTTGATATAAATGCTATTTCGTCACTTCCAAGCGTCTTCGTGGGACGTGTAGGGTCATCCTGGGGGACATGTAGGGATAGCCTGGGATATTATTTGAGCGATGTTCGCTATCATGTTGGAACTGGCTCAATGGACAATATTGAACCAAAGACAAAATGTTGCATGACGGGAAATTTTGATAGCACCTATGAGAGTGAAAATATGTACTAGTTAAAACCCGATACAACACGCCCGCTCATGTTGTAAATAGTGCATAAAGTATTACTGACCTCTGCTTTGTACATCTTTAACAAACCACTATTGACTTTAGTCCATGTTGGCACACTACTGATTCCCCATAGAGTGTTCGAGTGTTCAAAAAATGGTCCAGTTTTTACCTAGTAAGGGTTACAGGCAACGCATATTAGGATTATTATTAGGGTTGAGAGGGATTCAACGACCTGTAAAATACACGTTAAGGTTCATATACACCGGACGCGATTCGATTTTAGTTTTTGAAAGTTAATAAAACAGCCAATGAGAGCAAATTTTAAAAGATGTGTAGACCAAATAACTCAAAATGTTATAACGGATTAAGTTATCGTTGAGTGAAAATCGAAAAATCGCGTCGCGTTGTCGAATCGCGTCCGGTGTGTCTGGATCTTAAGGTCCATAAAGACCGGACGCGATTTGGCAACGCGAATTTTCAATTTTCAATTACATTTAACTTCAATATTTTTCTATGTTTTTCAAATATTCGTAACACTTAAGCAATTTTACCTATTTGGTCAGCATATCTTGTAAAATAAAATATCCGTTGACAGTTTTATTTGTTTCTAAAAACTGAAAATTTGCGCCGCGTTGTCGAATCGCGTCCGGTGTGTCTGGGCCTTAAAACCCTTCGTCTGGACTAACTTGTATTTTGCAGGCAGTTGAATCCTTCTCAGTCCGCAGCTTTCTCGAGTTATTGTCATGCACTACCTACGTTGACACAGACAGTTCCAGTATTTAATGAATATTAGTGTATGTTTACATGAGATAAGATGATGAAGATGTATATAAAGCGCTGGAAGGAAAACAACAAAGATTAAGAAGACATTGGAGAAAGAAAATGCAAGAGAGAATATGGTGGGATCCTAGAAGGTAAATTATCATGGAATAATAATCTCATTTAGTTCGAGACAAATATCGTGTGTACCGGTTTTCGGTATAAACGAACACGTTCATATTCTCATCTAAATATTTAGAGAATTTAAGGCTGTGGAGGTTTTTTTTGTACAAAGTTTCTGTGATCACATTTGCATAGGTAAATTGTATGTTGTGAAGGATTTGTGAGAAATGTTTGGGCAATGGACCATTTGCATTATAGACTAAATTTTGATCTAGACAAAATTTCATCACAGCTTGAAAGAGCATCACAAAATTAGTAATATTCCAGAGTTTCGTTGCGAAATGTTGTAAAATGCGGATAATATAGCCATGCGAAGTTTGCCGTTTTTCAGTCATTTTGTATTGCGCACGGGAAATTGACCGCCCAATCGGGTGTTGGGGCATCAATTTCCCATTTGTAATAGACAATGACTGAAAATTGGAAATTTCGCAAGGCTATATTATCCGTATTTTACAACATTTCGCAACGAAACTCTGGAATATGACTAATTTTGTGATGCTCTTTCAAGCTGTGATGAAATTTTTGTCTAGATCAAAATTTAGTCTATAATGCAAATGGTCCATTGAGGGAACTGACTCGGTATTAAACATTAAGTCAGTTCCCTCAAATCTTTCAAAACTTACAATTTACCCATGCAAAATTCCTACTGTGATCACAGAAACTTTGATAGTGTAAACAAGACTTCAGTGATGTCCATGAGCTTACCTGGTGAATGTTGTTAATACAATCAAAGAAAAGATATTCTTTTTTATTCGCGTTACAAACTTTGGCGTCTGGGATTGAACTTGGTCTCAACATGTAGTTATCATCTAAATAGAGAATGAATAAAATTAAACCAGTTAGGTGTGTTTCACTAAGTGTAACACTAGCGCATGGTGATCCACTCTAAAACAAAAGACGGTGTCTTTGACTCTGTGTTTTAACCTTGAGTTATTTCCCTCAAACATTTCTTAGAATTTACCAATGCAAAATTGCTACTGTGATCACAGAAACTTTGATAGTGTAAACCAGACTTTACAGAAACCATGTAGAGTGATATTAGAAAACTACGACATGCCCCCCCCCCCTCACCTGTCAATTGTGCACTTCCCCAGAAGAAAGGTAAAAAGTTAAAATCATCCAGACCCCACACTCCATGGCTGCCTGCTGGTTCCATACGATACACGCTTTGAAGACGACGCATTAAATCTAAATATCTAAAACACGAACAGCAGTTTTTGGTTGGGTGTTTTTGCTATGTAGACAGCTTGTCAGCAAGTTCTGAAAACTCTGCAAGTTGTCAATGTTGTAACAACTTGTCAACAAGTTGGGAACAACGGCTGTGGCTTGTCAGCACTTGTAGTGTGGTGGTCAGCACGCTTGTCTTTCAAGCCGGGAGAGCCGGGTTCAATCCTTGCTCGGACCTCTACTCAAGCTCTTAAAATAATTGAGGAGAAAGAGCTATCTTTACATTGACATCAGTAAATGGTTAGACTTTCGCGTCTTCTCAGATAAGGACGTTAAATCGTAGGTACCTCGAGCCCCTATTAATTGGGCAATTAGCTTAGTGGTGGGAAATCCACTCACCATGCAACGAGTGAGAAATTCAATGAACTCAGTGAACTCAGTGAACTTGCCTTTTAAAAATTGTGAAAACTGTCGCGATGTAGTCAGTTTCGTGTAGAACTTTCAATTTAAACAGACAACATAGAAATGCGGCAAACGACGCCTCGTGACCTGCGAAAAACGTAAAAAATTCAAGAACTTGTTTTAATTAAGCGCAGATGTAATACAAACGTTATAACATTTTCATTATATTTCCTCTATGTAATGGTCAAGTCTAATAAAATTGAGATTTGAATGCAGCATATATTACCTGAGCCATAATCAATCCTTGTTTTATTACCGAATCCATCTGATAAAGATTAAACAAATACTGAGTCTTATTTTAATACTGAGTTTGAGATTTTAAATTTCTCATAAGTTACCGTAATGCATTATAGACCTTTAAAGTATGCTTGTAACTCAATTATTGCATCTGGTCTGTCGCTTGGTAGTAAATCCTTTAAAATAACTTCACTCCCCTGAAAATACAGTAGATATCTTTCAGTTGTGGACAGCTGGACGACCAACCTATCTGCCAACCAACAGATCACTGGCTTGCAAGCCTACCTACCATCCATCGACTGACTGATAAGCCAACCCTGGCAGGCCTACCAACTATCTAGACTTGGTTCAAGTCCGTCTCTCAAGGGGTTGAATAGCGATGCACGTGAGAGACAGACTTGGGAACCATCCAACCAACAGATGATTGATGACCAACCAGCAGTTTACTGGCTGGCAGGACTACCAACCATCCAACCCACTGACAGCAGACTGACAAACCAACCCACCTACCAACCAACAGCTCACTGGCTGGCAGGCCTTCCAACCAACACACCTACCGATGACCGACAGTTGGCTGACTTACCGGGCAGGCTGGCAGACTAACTAACTGACCGACCAATTAACCCATCCAACCATGAAACAATTAACTCAAAAGAAAATTGTAATTCATAAATTTCATAAAAATAGATGCACCATGTGTACATCTAAATATTAAATTAAACCATATTCGCACAAAACATACTTGCATAACCTACTGTTTCTAGTTTAGTAAACCAGTCTCGATAAGCTGTGTTCCCAAACCTAACTGGCTGATCAACAGCTGGATTCTCATCAATCCACTTATCCAAAAGTTCAAGCAAATCAATGACTTTTTCACAGTTCTAAATAATAGGATGAAAAATTACAACAGATAACGATAGACAACATACAATATCCTGAAACAGTAAATACTGTACTTGAAATTAAAAGCACCTTTTGTTCTAAACTTCACTACATTATTAGCCAGTACCTCAGACCTGACATAATCACATTGCATTGGTTTTCCTTTGACAGCATTATTTAATGCCATTATGAAGCCAACAAACTCATGATAAGCCTTGGAAAAAAAAATAACATTGATTTGTCTGCAAGTCTTTTAAGTGGCAATGTGCTCTGATGCACCCTGCTTTATTATTTTACTCTATCTAATGTCACTGTTAACCTTTTTAGTGGCATTGTGCCCAGATGCATTCTACTTTATTATTTTACTCTGTCTAACACCAGATGATTTTACTTGTCAGGGGGAGAGTGCCGCCACTCAATGGGTTAAGGTTCTTTCATATTTTATAATTATCCTGTAGATAAAATTTTCATCGTCAGTCTAGCTGCCAAAATTACCATGCATCATTTGGCAACACATGCCAGGATCCTACCTATACACATGTAAAACTCTCACAACTTGTCAACAAGATGTGTTCGCAACAGGCTTGTAGCAAGCTTGCCGACAAGTTGTAACAATGCTGTTATTTTATCAAGTTGCTACAAGGTTGTCACTCACAACTTGTTGACAAATTGTTCATTACACCCTTTCGATAATTATGTCACATGCACATTTTGGTCTTGGAGTCTCGCTCTCATTAGCAAGGTGATTGGCTCACTATCCATGATAGCGAGGCTCCCAGGCCAAATGACGTAATTATCGAAAGGGTTATTGCAGGACGTCAACAAGTTGTTGGAACAACTTTTAACATGTTGAATTCAACAGCTGCTGTTGGCAACTTGGCAACAAGTTGGGAACAAGCAGTGGAAACACATCCTGTATGTATAACTTGTGTTTTGCTACAGTCTATATTATGAGCAAGATCTCTGCAAAAATCCTGACTGCTATATACAGGATCATCTAAACATGCAATATATTCTTTCGTTTGTTTGTATTTATCTCAACACATGTTTCGTTGCTGAAGGGGGGAGGGGGCGTGATAAATTTCTTCTAGAAAGGGGGGATTTGAGAGCAAGGCTTGCTATCTGAGATATATTAATAATTTTGTACCTGAGATTTCATCCATTTAGGCATATCCATAGGCGACAAAATTTCACGCTTTGGCTCGATAAAACATATATTTTCCATGATTTCTAAATCACAAATTGATTTTAAAATAGTTGTCGTGTTTACAAATTTTGCCAAATTTAGAAATTTTATATCTGCCGAAGATGCGCCGAGTTGTTGCCGAGAGTTGCACTTTGGAAATCTCGCGAGGATCGGCGAGCAAAAAATTTCCGAGGACTGGGGAGAGTCTCGAGGAGCGGGAAATTCAAGGATCGCAGGCTCGGGGAACGAGATTGCGGGAAATTCAACCGGAAATTCAGTCAAAAGTTTGTTTTTGAACGAAAATCCGCAAGAAAAAGTACTTTTTTATCAAAAGGCTTCAACTTCAAAGATTCAAACCTGGTTTCCTGGATAGTTCCCATACTGGGTTTGTCAGACTGTCAATTTGTGAGCGACTGTATTCAAGATGACGTCCGTGGTTGTAAGTACTTGTAATGGCGGACACTATATCCACTAAAGCCCGTTCTCCACTAGGCGAATTTATTCGCGCGAACAGATAAAAAGTAGGAAGCGATCCTACTTTTTCGCCGCGAATTTTTTCGCCGACCAATCACGTTGCCGGATTTCGGTTTTCGCTTCGAAGCGAAGGAGGATCGCTTCCTACTTTTTATCTGTTCGCGCGAATAAATTCGCCTAGTGGAGAACGGGCTTAAGGAGCGAATGGATAGGGTAGAAACTTTCTTAATAAACGTGTTTCATGGTGCATAGAGTTGTAGGATTGTTTGGGAAATGTGTTATTTTTTGAAGAAAATGGATTACCGCAACATTTTCGTGTGGCTCATAAGAAAAATATCACGCTGCAAGATATTGATTTAAAAATTCGGCATTGACTATGAAACGCATGTATGGCGAAGAAACGTGATATATTTCTAACAACATTCTCACTCTAATAACCCTGTGTCTGTAATAAGCCTCTTTCTCTAACAATCCTCATTCTCCTTCTAATAACCCTCTAACAACACTCTTCCTCTAATAACCCCTTACCTCTAATAACACCCTACCTTTAACAACCCTCTAATGACCCTTTCCCTCTATTAACTCCTCCCCCGCCCCACATATTACATAACTTTGATGATAACTTTGAACTATATAGACTTTGCTAGATCTTCCATTGACATTGGCCGTTTTTATACTAGAGACGCATTATGCGTCTGGACGAACTTGGGCAAGCATTTGTTGTTCGTCTGGTTATGCGTCCTTAGTATAAAGACGGGGACAATTAAGACGCATTATGCGTCTAGACGAACTATGTTCGATTGATAGTTCGTCTAGACGCATAATGCGTCTTGTGCCCGTCTTTATACTGAGGACGCATAACCAGACGAACAATAAATGTTGATAGTTCGTCGCATTGGCCGTTTTTATACTAGAGACGCATTATGCGTCTGGACGCATAATCCGTCTTCTACATTATTCGTCTAGTATTATTCTAGTATTATACTAGACGAATAATGTAGAAGACGGATTATGCGTCTCTAGTATAAAAACGACGGATTATGCGTCTCTAGTATAAAATTCTTATCCAAAAAAAGGGATAAGCTGGCTTTTTAGAATGGATTTTGCAACTACAGTGTTGTTCAGAGGAAAAACCGCGACGTCGAAATGATGACAACAACAAGTTGAATTTAGGAAAGTTCGTGGATAGTTTTTTGTTCAAGTGATTTTGAAGATTCCGTTGGTTCAAACAAATTATAGAAGGGATTTATAGGTTGGAATTTCGTGTGAACCAGGAACACTTGTTCATGTATCTGATATTTAGCCATGCAAATTTTGATATTTCCTCATATGCCCTGTTTCAAGATTTCGAAACCTAAAATACATGCTGCCAGAAAATCAATAATTTTTCAGCTTTAATGTAATATTTCTGCAGCTTATGTCAATCTATTCTTTACGGAATACCGACGCCATTATCTCTCTGCGTTGTATTTGAACATGGCGAACAGCTGAATCTTGCTCGATTGTTTTGCGTGAATTCAAAGACGACGACCGCGAGTATTTAGCCTGAGCATTTGATTCAGATCTTCATTTTTCAACCATGGTTCTGACGAGATTCATCATTCTCGTTTTCGTAATTTCTGTGGCATTTGCGGCGTCGCCTGAAGGTAACATTAAGTTGTTTTTTTGTAAATTTAGAGTAAACCTTTTGTTTAGTTTGAAATTCATATGCGTGTAATTGATTAATTTAGGTAATTAAGGTTATCTTGTATCGCTATAATTATGTTCTAATTGGACTAATTTTAAATTAAACCATTTGCTTTTGCCGTTTTGATGAAATAGTTTTCAGTTTGCCTGGTGTGGCCATCATTTGGAAAACATTACCCAGTATTAAATATATTTGAGCGCAAATCATCGTTTTCTTCTAACATGTAAAGTTTGTTTTTAATAAGAGAATATTTCGTGTTAGAGTATGCAGGTGAATTTGAAGGAGATATAAAACTGACTCGGGAGCAGAAGAACGCGATTCAGAATGGATTAGATTTAGAACCAGCAAATACGTTTGGAGCTTCCAAAAGCAAACGATGGAAAGATGGCGTCTTCCCTTACGTCCTTGCCAGTTCTTTAAGTATGTTGTTTTTACTTTTTATTCACTTTGTATATTTAACTGTGAGATAGTTTTTACTTACTGTTTAATTAACGAGCAAAAATACAAAATTGCTTATGCCTGGTTTCCAGATGGTCGTAAAACTAGAGTCACGATCTTTCTCAACGGCCAGTTTATAATAGTTTATACCTGTAAACCACATATAAATCATATTAAGTATTCTCTAGTTTAAATATAAATCATGATAAGTATTCTCTAATTATAAGTAATCACTCCGCGTATTTTCAGTTCTAAAATGTGGTATTCCGGCTGATGAGAAAGATTAGACTTTCAGTAATGTTCCCTCAATTCCTCTACCAGGAGCTGGTTTTTCAAAAGCCAGTTAGCTTACCATGTCCATGGGTTAACAAAATCTTCAAAGCAATCTTCCCCACAGCTTGTTTGTAAACGTGAAAATACTTTTCTTGAGATCTTGTTTGGATCAACGGAAATTTTATTCTCCGAGGATTTCAAATAAACAGACGTGTAGAAATACGTAAAGAAAATGTCAGGGGCCGGTTGTTCAAAGCTGGGTTAGCTTTAACCCTATAGGTTAACCTAAAATTCAAAGCAAAGCTTGTACCCTGCTCAGTGGCAGTGGAGACAGCTTGTCTATAAATTTGGAAATATTTCTTCAGAGATGTTGTCTGGATTGGCAGGAGTTTACTTCTCTGAAGTATTGAAATAAAAAAATACACAAACTAAAACAGCGCTAACCCATTTTTGAACAACCGGCCCCAGAAGTTTAAGTTATAATTTCTGTTTTGTTCTCAATAAAGTAACCGAAAACGTATCTTGGTTATTTTAGGCGGAAGTTCAAGTGCTAGACGAGTCATTGACAGCGCCATGAAAGAATGGTCCGAGAAGACTTGCATCAGATTCGTCCGCAGGACTAACCAAGCTGGATATGTCGAGTTCTTCAGAGGAGGAGGGTAAAACACGAAGCATTTGTTGCCCCTGACAGTTTAGAACAGATACAGTTATCCAGTATAAATAAAGTCTGTTCAGGTTCCCTTCTGTTCTAACACTGGATCAATAATGAGTTCTTATTTGTTTAGTACTGGTAAAGCTATATAAATAAATGATTTTTACTGGACCTCTAGGAAGAACAGTTTAGAACTGATAGAGCTATTCAGTATAAATAAAGTTAGTTTAGTTTAGGTTTCGTCCTGTAGTAACACTGGATCAATAAGAGATGATCCTTACTGGACCTCTAGGAAGAACAGTTTAGAACTGATAGAGATATCCAGTATAAATAAAGTTAGTTTAGTTTAGGTTTCCTCCTGTAGTAACACTGGATCAATAAGAAGTGATACTTACTGGACCTCTAGGAAGAACAGTTTAGAACTGATAGAGATATCCAGTATAAATAAAGTTAGTTTAGTTTAGGTTTCCTCCTGTAGTAACACTGGATCAATAAGAGATGATCCTTACTGGACCTCTTGGAAGAACAGTTTAGAACTGATAGAGCTATCCAGTATATATAAAGTTAGTTTAGTTTAGTTTAGGTTTCCTCCTCTAGTAATACTAACAGGCCATTAAAACAGTTTAGTCTACAGCCTTCTTGTTTTATCTAAAAAACGGATTGATTTTTTTCGTCGGTGTTTATTGACAAACCAGATTATGTTACTAGATGTTGGTCGTATGTTGGAATGACTGGTCGTAAACAACAGATCAGTTTAGCAGGAGGGTGCTGGCGTCATGGTATCGTTGTTCATGAAATTGGTAAGTGGACCACAACGTTGTACTCGTTATTATGTGGAGAAGAAATGCTCAATATTGATTTTCGTCCCGCTCCTGGCTTTGTCTTCCTATCAACGGCGCCTTTTTATTTAAACGCAGCGTAGGTAGTGATAATAACACCACAAAGCTGGAGATTATAAGAGGGATTCAATTTCGTGAAAAATACAAAATTGTTTGTCAAAAATTGTTGGTCATTGTTTATCTACACCGTAAATGATATGCGATAAAAGAGTCGTTTGTTTTTAGGACATGCTCTTGGATTTTGGCACGAACAGTCTAGACCTGATCGTGATGAGTATGTGACTATCATGTGGGATAATATTCCTTCTGGTGAGTGACGGGGGGGGGGAGAGGAAAGCAGGGAGGGGGAATATGTCATCATTATTTTGGATAACATTCCATCTGGTGAGTGAGGGGGTGGGGAGAAGCAGGAAAGGGAGGGGGGATAGCGATGAAAGAAGGGTATGATTAATATGTCACCATAATTTGGGATAGTATTATTTCTTATAAAATGTTGTAAAACATGTCAATGGTTAGTGTTAGATAATTTGTTATATAATGCTAAACCCTCGAATGCTTAGTTTAGTAAGGAGTTTCTTTAATGCTAGCCCATCCAATCCTTGTAGATGAGCGAATTTCTTTTATAAAAGCTGCCCAGTATTGATTTCAACTCTATTTTTGTTCATCTTAGGCAACCGTCACAACTTCAAAAAATACACCAAAACTCAGATTGACTCGCTGAATATTCCCTACGACTATGCCAGCATCATGCATTATGGAAGACGTGCTTTCTCCAATAATGGCAGAGATACAATAGTACCCAAGAAATCTGGGGTAAGACTAGAGGGCCTATAGTTGCATTTTTCGTAACTGTTTCTAGATCTAATGAATGTATCTATCCATGCATCGCAAAACCCAATCGTTGTTCTCTGTCATTCTCAAGGTGACGATCGGGCAACGAGGAGGTCTGAGTCCTAGTGATGTTCAACAAATGAATTTAATGTACAACTGTAAACAAGGTAGGAGTATTCTAGACATAGCCCTGGGAACGAATACAAAATTACATCATATCCTAACTGTCCTCATTCTTGGTCAATATTTAAAACAGCTGCCATTCCCCTATGTTCATTACATTTTCATCTACAAAACTCTTCTATAATTTTCACAATTGCTCCTGCTTAGGTTTAATAATTGTATAAAAGTCACATTCAAAATTCCCATCTACAAATTAATTCCTTCTACAATAAGTTCTATTCAGTGAAGATGCTCAAAATTCTGATCAGCTGGCCATTGTTTATCTAGTATTTTAACTAAGAATTTCTAAAAAAAAATAATCTTATATTCTTGATCAATATTTAATACAGGTACTCCTCCCCCTCCAAGACCCACTACCCCCAGACCAACTCCCCCCAGACCCACTCCCCCCAGACCTACTCCCCCAAGACCAACACAACCTTCGAATGGTGAGTACCATGTCATTTACCTGCTGAAATTTGTTATAACCTTGTCTCGTCAACTTTGTAACATTGACTTGTTATATATCATGACCGTATCAGACTTGTTGGAACAACTTTGCAGCAAGTCTGATAATCCCGACTTTTTCACATGTGTCCGGAGCGAGAATCGAACCCACGATCTCAGAGCCACACACGATGTTGTTATTTCATAACTGTATCGGACTTGTTGGAATAACCTTGCAACAAATCTAATTTTATCAACAAGGTTGCTACAACTGTTAACAGCTTGTTCCATATGCGTTACAACTTGGGCAATAGCAGTGCGAACATAACTTGTTGATGGCTTGTTGGCAGGCTTGCTACAAGATCTTTGAGATCTTTGCGTGTGTACCCAGCCCATTTGTTTGCCAGTCTTCGTTCAATCTTTGACCCTTCTTCATTCATTAAATATTGAAAACAAAGTTTGTCGAGGAAGAAGAAATATGTTTACCATGCAAAAACTTCAGATTGATAGGGATACAACTACCTTAAGAATACAAGGAGAACTTCGACGTTTCGAGGGAAGGCCCTACACTGCCGCAGACCGTTCAAGTTTAGATCTTTAACGTGCATCTTTTTTGACATTTTACGCAGGAATTAAAGTTGAACTTCGAAGTGAAGGTTGTGATGATCCAAAGCTGGTTCAAGTTCATTGTGGACGAGCTTACATCAAAGTAAACGGAAGAGATTATGCACGCAAGCGTCGTGGACATAACCTCGTGATTCTTGATTTACAAACAGGTAGAAATGGAATTCTCTTTCTAGTAAGTTTCTCACTCATTGGTGAGCGGATTTCCCAACAGGCAATAGCCTGTATTATTAAAATAATATCGATCGCCACCACATTTTTATGACCAATTTTATACCTTTATGAGAACATGTGACAGTTGTGTTTTATTATCTTGAACTGTCTGTGGCAGTGTAGGTAGTGGCAATAATAACAAGCTTTGGCCATGCTTTCGTTGGTAGGGATGCAACTAGCTGAAAAATATAAAGAGATTTCGACGTTTCGAGCGAAGGCCCTTCATCTGAAGTTACTCCTTTGTCGCTAGTAACTCTAGACGAAGGACCTTTCCTCGAAACGTCGAAATTCTCCTTATATTTTTTTTCAACTAGTTGCATCCCTACCAACGAAAGCTTGTTATGTTTTATTATGCATATCTTTGACGATGATCAACCGTGAACTACTCGTGTAGGTCGTATTGAACATCAAGGTGTATATGATACTCATGGATCAAGATATCAATCAGAACAAATGGCAAAGAAGTTGAATGGCTTGGTTAACGCCAGACAAAAGTAAGAAGAGGCTTCGCAATCGTCAGAGCAATCGCTTTTCACGTCTGAGATTATAGCTTCGATTCTCGCTGCGGACCTGACGCATTCACGTAAAACGAGTCCGTCAACGTTGTTCTGAAAGTCGTGGGTTTTCTCTGAGTACTCCGGTTTCCTCCCACAGGGAATGTTGACAAGGTGGGTTGGGATTATCCCCCTAACTGACTCTTCCACCGTAGCTGTGTTCCGTGATCAGACATGAGTCATAAGGTGGTTGCCAGAGGCGCCCTTAGAAAGCCTTCGACTCGATCTTGCTCATACGATCTCATTTTGTAGGAAAGTTATTCTGATTGCAGTCCAAGACGAAGCAAGGAGCAGAATGACGTCATCACTTGAGTCCGCGATCGTTCGCGTGGGTGGACGAAAACCGGTCAGACCTGCTTATCGAGGATCGTTTGCCTTGGTGGGATACACGGGAACTGACAGACCTTCATGGATACAGCAGGTTATGAAACCGAGGCGCATGGGACCTAGTCAGATAATGACGGTAATTTCTTCAGGACCTGGCCCAGTAACCCCCAGACCTACACCACCTAGTCCCAGACCTACACCACCTAGTCCCAGACCTCCTGTCGGTAAGTAGAACTCGTTTTTCATTGGTGGTGGTGATGGTGGTGGTGATGATGATGATGATGATGATGATGGTGATGATAGTGATGATGATAATGATGATAATGGTGATGATGATGATGATGATGGTGGTGATGATGATAGTGATGATGATAGTGATGAAGATGGTGATGATGATGATGATGATGATGATAATGGTGATGATGATGATGGTGATTGTGATTGTGATTGTGATGATGATGGCGATGATGATGGGGATGGTGGTGATGGTAATGGTGATGCTCGCTCGTGATTCGTGACGGTCATTAACCAATACTTCTTCTTGCTCCAGGTTCTTGTGGAGTTTCTGGTGTTACAGGTCGTTTGATTGGTGGAACAAATGCTGCCCCGGGAGCATGGCCTTGGCAGGTATACCTCGCCTGAAGAAGACATTCTCATTGTGTGTAGTTCACAGATTGACAGGGATGGATTTACTGGGGGGTGCAGGGGGGTGCACACCCCCCCTAGCCCTGACCAGGAGGGGTGCAGGGGGGGTGCTATTTTTCATGAAAAAGCAAAAAATTATCAGAGACAAAATGAGATTCAGTAGTTTGAGTAATAACATGATGATAAGCGACCTGTGAACAACAATTGCAATTCAAATAGTGTAGCTAGACTTTGCAGTGGTTAAGCAAGTTGATGGATGTGTAAAGTCCACGTGAAAGCAATTGCAACGTACTCGTCCGGAAAATTTTTTTTCGTAAAAAGTTGTCGATGGGGGGGGGGGGGAGGTTGTTGCTTTCCGAAAATTTTTTTTGGCGTAGCACCCCCCTACCAGACCATGCTGGATCCATCCCTGCAGATTGATATCTTTAATTTTCTTTCAATGCAGATTGCTTTATTGAAATCAGGAAGATTTGGCTGCGGAGGATCGTTGGTTTATCCTGATTGGGTTGTGACCGCTGGCCACTGTATATCGAGATCCACTAGGTAAGAAAATCACTTTCTCAAAAATACATTCTATATATTTTGCTCCATAAGAACAAGCAATCTTTCCTTAACACAATTTCTCTGTGTGTTTATAATTCCACCTCAGTCCCAACAAGCTCACTGTACTATATTATGCATGACTAGCGTGGGAATCCAAATACATTCCGAACTAGCGCTGGGTAAAATTGCTTCAGGCCCTCCTAAGATTTTCTCGGCCCACTTGACTAGAAGTCCTGGCTGCATCACTGGCAGCAACATCCAATGAAGATGGTCCTTACACAAATAAAAAATAGATTGCTTCAACACTGAAATTGCTTTCTAGTACCTCATCCTACACGATTCTTCTGGGCGCTCACAATAGAAATTCTCCTCAAAGTCATGAACAGCGTATCAGAGCTAAGAAAGTGATAGTTCACCCACAATACGGACGACCTACACTTAACAATGATATTGCTTTGATCCAGCTTGAACGACCTGCAACGTTGACCAGCCGTATTTCGACTGTTTGTTTACCAAGTCATAACTTTGATGTACCATTGAATTCTGAGTGTTATATTACTGGTAAGTGGTGATGGTGGTAGCAATGTTAGGACAGCGATGTACCATTGAATTCTGATCATGATGTTAATGGTGATGGTAATGGTGATAGTGTGTTGATGATGATATCATGATGATTATAATAATGGCGATTTTGGTGATAATGATGAAGGTGGTAAATGATCGTGGTTGTAATTCTGGTAGTGTAGGTAGTAATAGTTGTATTGGTGATTATAATAGTTGTGATGATGATAATAATAATAATAATAAGCAATAATGATGGTAATGGTGATCATGATGATAGTGATGATGGTGATATTTGATATTCTCAGGTTGGGGTAAAATCCGTCACCCAGGAAGTTCTCACCACACCCTCCAGCAGGCCAGGTTACCACCAGTCAGTCAAGAACAGTGCAAGAAAAAACTCGCGCAATCACCTGGTAAATATTCGTAATTAGTATTTTTGCACAAGTGAACATAACAAATCATACAAGTTGATTGGTCAAATTTGACGTATTACGCTGTTTATATTCACCTACAGGTGAATATAACAAAACCGAAATTTTCGTCTTATTGATTGACAAAGTAACGAAGTTGTAAACAGAAGCTTGTTGTGCGAAGGGCGGAAAGCGCTATCAACCGGATAGCGATTTTTTCCATTGTTGAAAGACTAATACTTGAAGAGCTACAAAACTATGGCTATGGACCTCGCAATTAAAAAAAGAAACATTCCGCTATCCAGTTTTTGAACAACCCGCCCCCAGATCTTTTCAACCATGCGAGTCTGTTAACATTTTGAGTCAAAAGGACTAAAGCCTGGTTTACACTTTACATTTTCAAAGTTTCTGTGATCACAGTAGGAATTTTGCCAGTGCTGGAAAATGTCCGGCAGCGCCAGCAGCATCGCTGCCAGGAAATGTTTAACAAAATATCTTCGCAGGAAATTTTCTTGCACCTTGCAGGAAATTTTTGTCATCTTATATACAGGACGCCATATAATTTACTTATTGTTTAAAAATTCCAAATTAAGCATTTTGCAAGTCGAGGTGTGCGCCATCATAGTCCACACGTTCTCTGAAATCTACATAGGAACGACGTTTTATAGTTGACTTACACAAGAAATTTTAATTTTTGAATTTCGTTGTCAGGAAGATAAATATATTTTCTAGGCCTGAATTTTGCATAGGTAAAGTTTTGAAGGATTTGTAAGAAATGTTTGAGGGAAATGACTCAATGTTAAACACTGAGTCAGTTTCCTCAAACATTTCTTACAAATTCTTCAAAACTTAGAATTTACCTTTGCAAAATTCCTACTGTGATCACAGTTGATAGTATCAACCAGAGTGAGACATGTATCGGAAACGTAACCATACATTTCCTCCATCCAGATGGCCACAGATTGTCGATCACGGAGCAAATGTTATGTGCTGGAGTTGACGACAGCATCTTGAGTGGTTGTCATGGTGACAGTGGTGGTCCCTATGTATGCCGGGATAGCAACAATCGTTTCGTTCTTCAAGGGGCTGTTTCCTGGGGTTCACCCAGATGCGCTTCGTCTGAGCGCTACACCGTCTTCGCACGAGTCGCGAAGTTCAGAAATTGGATCGACTCCGAAATCCGTCGTGCTGGTTAGATTCAAAAATTCAAGTTGTGTCAAATTCTACCAAAGTAGATCTGTATTAGAGATTACGTAGTCTTAGAAATGTTAAAACAATGAGCAGTTTTGAATAAAATATATCAAATTTACGAGTACAATGTTGTTGATATGACAGAGGCTGGATTCTTATGTAGACAGCATTCAAATATAATGAAATTCCATTCGATTTTTTTGTTTAAACACCTTCATGCGCACAGAATTGGAGCCTGGTGTAAGCCACGTACCCATGGGGCTAAATCTACTAGGGAGAGGGGGTGCACCCCCGACAAAAGTCCGAATATTTAGACGCTTAGAAACCTGGAAATACAACTAAATTTGCCATTCTTAATTTAAAGTGCACATGACATGAATTTTTGGCCTTAATTTTATTGCTTTACTACAAAGTACACTTCAAATGATGAAGAATGGTGGTTACAGTTTTTTTTCATATCTCAATCCAGAGTTATTACAGTTTTTGTAATTTAATTTGAGCTATGTTTAATGGCTGTCAAATTGTCAAAATTTCCCGCAGTTGCTGCACTCTGTTTGAATGCTGGAACGATATTGATAAATAATATATACTTTTATTTCTGTACAGGAGCAAACCAATTTATCGTTCTTCGAGGAAAGCCTCACTAAAAGTGAACAATTGACGCAAAACATGGTATGTTTTTTATATGACCCTCGACTCTCTCGACATTGACACATGACCTCCCACACTCGACCTTCGACAAAAACCTAAATTCCGCACTAATAACCTCTTCCCTCTAACAACTCTCTCCCTCTAACAACCCTCTAATAACCCTGTAACAATTCTCTAATAACCCTCTAACAACCCTCTCCCTTTATTAGAGTGAGGGTGTTATTTGAAGGACGGTCTTATTGGAAGGAGATGGCTCCCTCTAATAACACCACCCTCCCTTTAACAACGCTCTCTATTACTCCCCCCCCCCCCCACATATTACATAACTTTGATGATGACTTTGAACTATATAGTTTTTGCTAAATCTTCCTTTGTTCTGATATAAAGGGTATGCAGGTTTTTTAGAATGGATTTTGCGATTACAGTGCTGTTCAGAGGGAAAAAAACGACGTCGAAATGATGACAACAAGTTGAATTTACGAAAGTCTGCGGTATGATTTTGAAGATTCCGTTGGTTCAAACAAATTATAGAAGAGATTTGTAGATTGAAATTTCGTGTGAACCCGGGGAATAGTTGTGAAAAATGCAGCTATAGTCCCTCTGGTAGGAATCGATTCTGCGATTTTGGTGCAGCGCTCTAACCAACTGAACTACAGAGAGACAGTTGTCGAGCTCTAACCAACTGAACTACAGAGAGACAGTTGTCGAGCTCTAACCAACTGAACTACAGAGAGACAGTTGTCGAGCTCTAACCAACTGAACTACAGAGAGACAGTTGTCGAGCTTAAATCACAAATTCATGTATCGGATATTTACCAATGCAAATTTTGATATTTACTCATATGGCCTGTTCCAAGATTTCGACACCTAAAGTACATGCTGGCAGAAAATCAATAATTTTTCAGCTGCAGCTTATGTCAATTATCTCTCTGCGTTGTATTTGAACATAGCGAACAGCTGAATCTTGCTCATTGTTTTGCGTAAATTAAAAGACGACGACCGCGAGTATTTAGCCTGAGCATTTAAATGATTCAGATCTTCATTTTTCAACCATGGCTCTGACGAGATTCATCATTCTCGTTTTCGGAATTTCTGTGGCATTTGCGGCATCACCTGAAGGTAACATTAAGTTGGGTTTTTTGTAAATTAGCTACACCTTTTGTTTAGTTTGAAATTTTATGCAATTAATTGATTAATGTTTCGCTAATTATGTTTTAATTGAACTCATTTTAAATTAAACCATTTACTTTTGCCGTTTTGATGAAATAGTTTTCAGTTTGCCCATGCAGTATTAAATATATTTGAGTGCAAATCATCGTTTTCTTCTAACATATAAAGTTTGTTTTTAATAAGAGAATATTTCGTGTTAGAGTATGCAGGTGAATTTGAAGGAGATATAAAGCTGACTCAGGAGCAGAAGAACGCGATCCAGAATGGATTAGATTTAGAACCAGCAAATACGTTTGGAGCTTCCAAGAGCAAACGATGGACCAATGGCGTCTTTCCGTACGTCCTTGCCAGTTCTTTAAGTATGTTGTTTTTACTTTTTTATTTATTCATTGTTTTACTTACTGTTTAATAAACAAACAAAATTGCTTAAACCTGGTTTCCAGATGGTGGTAAAAATAGAGTCACGATCTTTCTCAACGGCCAGTTTATAATAGTTTATACCTGTAAACCACATATAAATCAGAAGTGTTCTCCAGTTTAAATATAAATCATAAGTATTCCCTGATCATAAGTAATCACTCCGCGTATTTTCAGTTCTAGCTAATGTTGTATTTCGGCTGCTGAGAAAGATTATGGAAAGTAGGCGTTAAAGTTCCCTCTACCAGGAGCAGGTTTTTCAAAAGCCAAAGCTTAATCTTTGATTAACAGAATCTTCAAAACAATCTTCCCAACAGCTTGAGTTTATAACCTTGGAAATATTTTACAGAGATCTTGTCTGGTTCAACGTAAGTCTTATTTTCTGCAGTTTTGAAATAAACAGACGTGCAGAAATACACCAAAATCAAAACAGCAGAGGTTAAATTCAAACCCAGCGCTAATCCAGCTTTGAACAAGCGGCCCCTGAAGGTTATGTTTTAATTTCTGTTAATAAAGTGGAAAATATCCAACAGTCCTAAATATTAAAGTTATTGGTTATTTTAGGCGGAAGTTCAAGTGCTAAACAGGCGATCGACAGTGCCATCAAGGAATGGTCCGAGAAGACTTGCATCAGATTCGTCCGCAGGACTAACCAGGCTAACTATGCCGAGTTCTTCAAAGGAGGAGGGTGAGACACGAAGCATTTGTTGCCCCTGCATGACAGTTTAGAACTGATAGAGCTATCCAGTATAAATAAAGTTAGTTTAGTTTAGGTTTCCCCGTGTAGTAATACTGGATCAGTAAGGGATGATAGTTACTGGACCTCTAGGAAGAACAGTTTAGAACTGATAGAGCTATCCAGTATAAATAAAGTTAGTTTAGTTTAGGTTTCCCCGTGTAGTAACTCTGGATCAATAAGAAGTGATCGTTACTGGACCTCTAGGGAGAACAGTTTAGAACTGCTAGAACTATCCAGTATAAATAAACTGTTAGTTTATAGGTTTCCTCCTGTAGTAACACTGGATCAATAAGAGATGATCCTAACTGGACCTCTAGGAAGAACAGTTTAGAACTGATAGAGCTATCCAGTATAAATAAAGTTAGTTTAGTTTAGGTTTCCTTCTGTACTAATACTAACAGGATGTTCCTTACTGAAAATCTCTAGGAAGAGCTGTTGAAATAGCTAAAACAGTTTAGTTTACAGCCTTCTTGTTTTATCTAAAACGAATTGATTTTCTCCGTTCATTGACAAACCAGCTTATCTTACCAGATGTGCGTCCTACGTCGGAATGAGTGGTGGTAAACAACGGATCAGTTTAGGGTCATGGTGCTGGCGTCATGGTACCGTTGTTCATGAAATTGGTAAGTTGACCACAACGTTGAAGTTGTACCCGTTATTAGAGAGGTTTAGCAAAGACGACGCGACATCAAAAACGAGGTGAAAGTGGCGTAAAAACGGCGAGATATGCCCATGCATGGATATGCCCACGCCGTTTTCACCTCGTTTTTGACGTTGCGTCGTCTTTGCTAAACTTCTCTATTATGTGAAGAAGATATACTCAATATTGACGCAAAGCTAGTGATAGCGAGGTTAAACAAGCGACATATTTGTCAACACGGACGACGGACTCAATTTCCTTAAAAATACAAAATTGTTTGTCAAAAATTCTTGGTCATTGTTTATCTACACCATAAATGATATGCGATAAAAGAATCGTTTGTTTTTAGGACATGCTCTTGGATTTTGGCATGAACAGTCTAGACCTGATCGTGACGAGTATGTGACTATCATGTGGGATAATATTCCATCTGGTGAGTGACGGAGGGGGGGGATGAGAGAGGAAAGCAGGAAGGGGGATAGCGATGAATGAAGGGTGTGATGAGGAAGGGGAGTGGGGGATAGTGATTAGAGAAGGTGTGGTGAATATATCAGCATTATCTGTATATGATGTTGTAAAACATGTATCCAATGCTTAGTATTAGATTGGTTTTATAATGCTAAAACCTCGAATGCTTAGTTTAGGGAACTTTCTTATATAATGCTAACCCATCCAATCCTAATTAGATGAGCGAATTTCTTTTATAAAAGCTGCCCAGTATTGATTCCAACTATATTTATTGTTCATCTCAGGCAACCGTCTGAACTTCAAAAAATACACCAAAACTCAGATTGACTCGCTGAATATTCCCTACGACTATGCCAGTATCATGCATTATGGAAGACGTGCTTTCTCTAATAATGGCAAAAATACAATAGTACCCAAGAAAACTGGGGTAAGTCTACAACGTAAATTTTATCCTTTCAACAATTAGTTCTATCCAGCGAGATGCACAAGATCCTGATGTTTACCCATACACATAGTTACAGTAGCATCACCTTAGTATCTGTACATGAACTTGTGGTTAGAGCTCGACAACTATTATTATTATTATTATTATTATGAACTTTATTTTGACACGGTAGAATCATCAGTAAAAATTAACATAATATAGATATATATAAAGTATAGAAAAAGGAGGAAAAGGGAAAAAAATACAAATGCTATTTACAAAAGACAGAACAGTACTGATTTACATGATTGCCGTGTGTGAATCTAAGCTAACCAACATTCTAGACCTCGTTTAAAAGCGCTAAGAGATTGCGCTGAACGAAGTTCAGTTGGTAAACTATTCCATAAAACAGCTCCATCGTAGCTGAGTGAGCGCTTTAGATAATCTGTATGTGGCTTAGGGACAAATAATGTATTTTCATTGTTTCTCAATCTGTAAGGACAAGACCGCGAAATAAATATGTCTTGTAGATATTCTGGTAACCTCTTGTTTATAGTTTTATACATAAGAATTGCTTTATGCTTTTTGCGATTAAGAGATAACTGGTGCCAGTTTAACTCCTGCAGTAAAGAATTCGAGGAGTTTTCATATGTGCTTTCGGTGATCATGCGAGCAGCACGGTTTTGTAACTTTTGTAACTTACTGCTCAGCTCGCTGCCAATACCGTCCCAAACCGGGCAGCAGTAATTAAGGTAAGGCTCAATTAAGCCTTTGTACGCTTTCACTGCAATTTCCCTGTTTACAAATCGCCTCACTCGTTTGAGGGCACTAATTCCTGAGGATACTTTTTTACAGATAGTATCAATATGGTTCTTCCAAGTTAAATTTTCATCAATTGTTACACCTAAGGATTTCGTGTACTGTACTCTTTTAATTTGAGTGTTATCTACGCATATATTAAGAT